CGACCTTTGGCCTCCAATCAATCCATGGCTCATGGTGTTCCAACCACACTATTCTTAGGACGAGGTCATACCTTGCATCCAAGTCTAAGTCTAGACAGCGTTCCACGCTATCAAAGTCAAGTAAGTTGAGTACGAGGTCCACAGGGACCTTCGGGACCGTGACACGTGTCCCCGTCGCGAACAGTGACGATATCACCCAACCGCGCTTTTAGCGCCTTCGCATACAGCTGACTTCCTTCCATCGTAGAGCGTCGAGGATAATTTCCCGATGCCCCAGAATCGATGAGGGTCTTCCATGGCTTCTCAAAGCTTTTTACGATCGCCTCAACGACCAGCAAGCCCGGCTTGCATACACGTTCTGTGTTCAAGAGCACGGAGGTCTTCGGGGCTGGGCCCTGTTGAACTAAGCCTCCCTGAGGCTCAACAGAACTCAGTTTTTCCCCAGTAGGTCGGCCTGTGCCTAGTCAGTGGTGTCGTTTCCCCGCGACGAAACAGACTGGTAGGCGTTGGGGCGATGGTTCGAACAACCTTGGTGCTCCCTTCGCAGGAGGCAACCGTTCCGCAGGTGACCGGTATATCCACAAACAAAACACTGTCGTGTGTTTGCATGCTGCCCGATAGCTCGGAGTTCTGCTCCCTCGTCCTCAGCGCGGCTGAGATCCACGGGCATAGGCCCGCTCGAAGAGCTTTTGGAGTGTGCATTCCAGCCAAGTCGTGCCGACTTGAGATTCAATTCGGCGTTCAATACCACATTCACCGCCTCTTCAAACGAAGACGGATGCATACGGAACACTTCTATTTTGGCCACGCCAGTGCGAAGGCCTTCCATAAAGACGGTCACTGTGACCGTATCCGGGAGTGGATCTGCTGTCATCCCGGCAATGAGAGTTCGCATCTCTTGGACAAAGTTCACCAATTCCTTGTTGCCCTGTCGGGTGGCAAGGAAACGCGATCGCACGCGATACGCTTGATAAGGCGGCGAGAACCCTCGGGAGAGCTGCAATTTCAGCTCCGCCCAGCAGGGAAACGCAGCTCTGACCGAAGTGCCGCACGTCAGTGCCCATTCTCGCGTTCGACCACCGAGCTATGAGATGGCTAGTGCCACGCGCTGTTGTTCGGTTTGGAGCATGGCGGGTGCGATGGACATCTCGACCTCTCTCACCCAGAGCAAGAGATTTGCTCCATCCATCCCCTCAAAGACCTTAACGCTCATCATGAGCGGCTTAGGTCGGGGGAAGTCTTCCGTCACCGATGGCGGCGTCATAGACGCAAACGATGCAGACATCTTCTGCTGCAGGTGCGCTAGCAGCGCATTTTCGAAACTTAAAATCGCCTCTAGACGCGCGCCGATTGCCTCGGGGCCTTGTGCTACAAGGCGTTGCATGCCCTGGGGCAAAAGAGAAAATTCCTTCATCCTCACAGAGGATCAGTCTAAACGACTCAGGTGTAGATTGACTACAAGTGCTTTCAAGTGCAGCGGGGCTGCCGTAGCTAAGCGCTTGAGGAAGCGTACTTAGGTTACCGACCTTTCGTTCTATACGAGAACCAAGTATGAGTTAGCGGATCGCAATCCGCTTACTCCAAGAGTAATTATTACCTTATACCAAGGCTTATTGACTCTTCGGTTGATATTCAAAACTGATTTTTTTGTTTTTTATCTTAATTCTAAAAGTTAAGGTTTTCTTAAATTTACTAAATATATAAAATACGATCGAAACACATGCATAACTACTGGCTACCTAGCCCCGTACCGTATTCTTGTATGGGTGTGGTCACACCATACACATCTCGTGTGACACACACCCCTGTTATCAGGGTTCGTGTAACCCCGTTAAAGCCGAGGTATCGAATGCGAGGCTCAAGGGTTGCACGTGGAATGGCACGCAACCCACTCAGTACTGCTCACGTTACGAAGCAGCTGCTGCATACCAAGAGTGGCATGGACGGACGAGGTTCGATCATCCTGGGCAAACCCCTTCTGATGCGCGCAATGCGGCACGTTATCCACTGGACGAAAACTGCGGAAATAGCAGCTCTTCGTCGAATGTTGTTTATAACATCAAGGGTCCGATGAAGCAGGGAGTGGGGACAATGAACGACGCCAAGTGCGTTTTTACACTGGTTAAGATGAGACGTAAAACTTCAATAGAGAGGAGACGGCAATGTCGTATTTTACCTACTAGGCACAAGTCGTCGACCATGATCCAGGTATGTCCACCGTAGACGATAGCGCACAGGTATAAACTCTTGTCAACGGTATGACGGGAAAGGAAGACGGTGGTGTCACCCTCAATGCTATTTTTTATGCAGTGAATTCCCCTTTTGAGCTGGACTTGATGTCCTTCGAACGGTTAAGAGGTGCCTTGAAGCCGGGCGATTCGACCGAGGTGGTCATTATACGACCGAACAAGGAGATAAACTCGTCATCGCTTCTGAATGGAGCTGTCCTGGAGGACACCAAGAGGAGGCTGAACGCGCGAAGTGGATCGTCGATCCAAAAGGACTCCTCGGATCCGTTTTTTTCTGGTAAAGGGAATACAAGACGTTGTCTTTAAATCCCAGCCGTCGGTCCTACCTCACGACCGAGGTGTGCGTCATGAGTTTAAACTGGGAAATACTGCGTAACATAATAGTGTACCCTGCCCAAGGAACAGTGTGACGTCACTGACGCCCTCTACCGTGCGAAACACGTGTCAGGAATGGTGTGTGAGAGCAATTCTCCCCATTCGACACCCACGTTTTGTGTCCGAAAGCTGAACGGCATGTGGCGTATCGTTCACGCATAAAAAAAGTTAAACGCTGCCACCATTTCGGCAACAGACACCGATCCCTAGGAAGGATGTTCTCGGAACAATATTGTCAGACAGCGCACTCGACCTGGTTGATGGGAATCACCAACTGCTCATGAGAGCGAGTGATATTTTGCTGACAGCGGTGAGTAACCGAGCGGGATGGTCTTTGAGTGGCTGTTGATACCCCAAGGGCTGTCAAATGCACCGGCAACATATAATCGTCTTGTGACGCAGTTGTTCAGGCCCCACAGGGGGTATGCACAGACATACTTTGACGCCATTTTCGTTCACAGTCGTGCGGAGCAGGGGAGGACGGATGAGGAGAACCACATCGTTCATTCAAGAGCGGTGCTCGAGTGCATGCGTACGAATAATGCTGATAAGTGCATCTTCGGCGTGAAAGAAATCTCTTTTTAGGGTGCTTATTGGGAAGCGTGGCCTTCGAGCGGATACTGCTAAGGTCAAGGCCATAGTGAACTGGCCAGTTTTAAAGAACCAAAAATGTTGCGCAAGCAGCTTGGCCGCAAACTATTTCACAAGTACAGCGCGAATTATGCGAAAATGGCACGGCCATTGTCAAACCTCCTCTAGAAGGAAACGGAATGTTGTTGGGACACCGAGCATCGGGAGGCTTTTGACAGGGTCAAAGACAGTCTTCTGTATGCACCAATACTGGCGTTGCCAGACCACGATCGTCCTATAATTGTAGATTGTGACTCTCCGGACTTTTCCATCGGCTGTGCACTGCTGCAAGCACACGCCGAGATGCGAGATCGGGTGATCGCGTTCGAAACTCACCAACTCAAGGCTGTGGAGAAGAACTATCCAGTAATAACGTGCGATGAAGTATGCAGGTTGCTGTATTATAGCCCCGATTCGATGGATACGCCTCGAAAGTCGTGCCACCTAAAGTTGAAAATGCACACGTAAGCCTTTTTTTCTCACAATGAGTATTTAACATACCGTAGGACCACGGCACCCCACTCAATGGTCATCTCGTGGGAAGTCGTACAGCTCTGTGAGTTGCCACTACCGGTGGGCCAGGCTGTTCAAATGAATTAGCACATTTGTATGCATGCGTGAGACGTGTCAGAGGGTGGAACCCTCCCGAATGCGGCGGCGCTGATGGCCAGCTTACCGGTACCCATCAGGTGCTGGCAGTCCACAAATATGGACTTTGCATTTGGCCTGCCAAAGGAGTCGGTGGGCAAAACCGGTGGTGCGGTCTTCGTGGACCGTTCGAACAAGATGGTTTATCTTGCGGCAGTGCCGGACACCATCGACGGTGCTGGTACAGCGACGCTGTTTGTGGATCGCGTACGAACATCGACGTCAATTGTCTCTGATAAAGACCCACGCTTCACTGGCAAGTTTGGTCTACAATGTTCAGGGTGCTGGGCACCAACTTGGCTATGTCAACAGCGGATCATACGCAGACAGATGGACAATCTGAGCGCGTGAGCCGCGTCGTTCAATACGTTCTTTGCAGCGTCTACGCCGAGACGTCGATGCGCTGGAGCGCCTGGCTGCCACTCGTAGTGTCTGCTATAAAGAATGCAGTGCATTCATCTACCGGCTACACACCGATCTACGTGAACGGATCTGCTAGTTTTCGTGTCCCGCTGACATTTCCATTCCATAGCTCAGGGCTTGGTGGGGGAAGAATAACCGAACGGCTAGCTGAAGTCAGCTCCCTACTGTCCGTAAATAAGTCGATGACTTCCTTTCTACCAGACTGAGTGTCCTATGACACATCTGGGATGCGATGGCTGAAAGCCAAGACATGGAGAGAGAATATCCAGATGGAAGAGGCAGAGGAATGTTCGAAACTTTGAGGTCGGAAACCTGGTTTTATGAAATGCTAAAACCTCCTTCAAATGCAGTTTCGGCTGTCATCAAGAAAAAGCTCCGACCACGATTTATTGGACCTTTTGAGGTCGTGGCCAAGCAAGATCGTGCGTTTACGCTAAACCTTCCAGCAAGAACGCGCACTTACCCGGTGCGTTATGTGAGTTTGCTTAAGCCTTACCGAGCCGCTTCGACATAACGCGATAGGCCTCAACATGAGGCAGTCGGTGCACAAAGTGCTCCAAGCTCTCGACGTCTTCCGCACAGCGGTATTCGACCTCAGAGAGATGCTCGGCGGAGTGCCGATGACGACGAACTTTGTCCTCCAAAATCGCGAGTCACAGTACAAAACTAAAGTTGTTTTAGATAGATGTTAGAACGAACAAGTCGGAATCGTCCGCCACCAAGTTTTCTCGATGAGAATGCAGGCGTCCACTATCATGTGAAATGCGTTATGGGTCGACGTTGTCGACAGGGTTGAACCCAATATTTGTGAAGTGAAGCGGGAATACTTCGATTGGCGCATCTCGCCCTCTTCGTTTTCCCATGCCCCGAGAGCTCGTGGGAGTTTCAGGCGCCACTTCGGCAAGACTGCCCAGACGTCTTGGACGCTGATGATCAGAAGAATAATGATGTTAACGTAACCCAAGAAGCTGAAGGTTCATGAGCTGAGCTAAAGTTTTGGCCTGAGCTGCTGTGGTCGTAAATTCACCAGTTTGAGAAACCACAGAGCTCGCGGGAGCGTGGTAAATGAAATGATTCCATATGTCGCAGGGCAACAATACGTAGGAAGTCGCTGTTGCGCCTTGAGTTTGGCAAACACAAATCGAAGATGGCGTTTTTCGCGCACGTCCACGTCCTTGTGGCCCCGCTGCCAGTTAGACAGCGAGGAAAGTTTCCGGTGCCGCTGCACCAATCGCTCAAAATGCTCTTCATCATCTGCAGCGGTTTTGCCAGGGGCGGGCACCACAGGTATAGTTCGCATTGTTGGTACAAAAGCGCCTCCTTTTTGAGCTCGAAGTCGAGCGCGGTATCTATCCATTGGGACTTCTTAAGGTACCAAGAAGCGAACTTGGAGAGCTTTCCGCTGGTCAAACTCAGCTTGTGTAGTGATCGGGGGGGCGACTACGTAGACGCTTCGCGATCGATTGATGGCGTCTTCGCTTCAGTAGCGGGATCCGCCGAGCGGAAGCCGTACTCCACATGATATCCTAGGACCGAACCTGGATACGAGCGCATGAGAGCCGCCCTGTGGGCAGCCTCCAAGTGTTGCTTTTGTCCCTCGTCGAGGCGATTGGTAATAATACCACTTCCCTCGAAAATCGAGAGGTCAGGGAACGGACACGGTGTCTACAAGGCTCGAGCAGGGCTCACGTCGACCGCTCGGAAAAGGTGTATCTGTTCCCAGTCGACTTTCTTCGGATACACGACGAGGAAATCCGTCACACGTAGCGGGCGCAGTGTGTGGTGCCCGCTTGACAATATCTGGGATGTGCTTCTCGTGAAGCCGTGATCGTACTGTCTGGAGGTGCACCCCATGCAGAAGACGAACAAGGGCTTTGTCCACAGGCGCCCTCAGAGCCAGCTAAGTTTGGTGTTTTTCGTGTCATAGCCACATGGCTCATTGAGCGGAGAACGTTTAAAGATGGTCTTAGGGACTTAACGATGTCTCTAACACGCGAGCCTCGTATGAGGCGAAAGTTAAATGTGATTGTGGGTGATCACAACTTTGATAGGGGAGAGTGAAACGGGATTACACGAACATTTGTATGAAAGGGTGGGTCACACAAGATGGTGCGACCGTACATAGGTGTGGATTATACCAGTTGGTGGAATCAGTCAATGATGTCTCTACACAGTGACAAGAAGCCGAAACTGCCAGTAGTAATGCATTTTAGTTTGGTTTTCACGGTTTGATTAGGAAAACTTATAGATGTAGATATAGGCGCCTTTGCCGCAAACGAACAAATGCATACAGTTTTGATTTTAAACGGAAGAGAGGATTTGCCTTAGTTAAGTTTTTTTACGCTCTTTTGGAGGTAGCAGATTGATGTCCGCTCTATCGTACTGGTTCTGGTGTAGAACGTAAGGTCGGTGACCTTAGTAAGCTTCTCTAAGCAAAGAGCTACGGCAGCCCTGCTGCACTACTGGATGTCTAAAAGTTATGTGGTACACGCTTCTTGCGTAGTGGAGATTTGGCGGATCAAATCCCCATCTCAAGCAGGAAGCAGAAGCCGATTGATAGTGGCACTAAACTGCATCAGCTTCCGTGCAGCGCATGGGTGTGTCTGAAATGTTTTGTATTGACATTGCTAGGAGTATCAAGCATTGGTCGGAATGCAGATGTGGTGTGGAGCCGAGGGCTTAGTATTGGGCAAGTATGACAATTTTTATCGCGGTTTCCATTTTGTTTCTCGGTTGAGATGATCGGACGACTGTATGTCTTGGTGTCCAGAGTGTATTTTTGATAGACGGGGAACATGATCTTTGTGCCGTCATATTCTATGCTAGGGCCGGTGAATAGTGATAGCAAATGAGTATCCTAATCTACCGTGCAGAACTGGATTAGTTGAAGAACATCTGTAAGTCGCGAGTCAAACGGCTAGGACCTAAAGCTTAGGTATATCTTTTCACGATGTGGTCACCGTGCGGAGCACTGAAGCTCAACAGACACGTGGCGAGAAAGATTGTGCACTCACGATTAAATGAGTGAGGTAGTCCTTAGATTGTTAAGGGCCGGCTGGGAAAATGGGCTTATCACTCGTTCTATATAAATTCGTTGTTAAGGACACTCGAATGGAAGTGGGCGACAAGGGCGACTTTCCTACACTCAAAAGTTCAGCGGAACAATACTACGACAAGATACCCTTCCAAATTGCTGCCCTTTAAAGTGTAAATCTTCGTATTCATCTAAAAGAGATAGCTCATGAAATAATTCAGAGAAATCCTGCCTCGAAATGATATCAAAACAGCATGCGTCTAGGCTCTCCAGCCACAACTGAATACAATTGTTTGCCATCAACCTTTATTGCTGATGTGCCCAGTGAGCAAAGTCGTTGTGTCACAGCGTGACTTAAAATTGGCATTCTCTAAAAAATCAAGATATGCCCTTTTACTTGCAACTCATACTCACGTGTCTCAACAGCGGCTTGCCAAGCCAACCAAGGCCTGGTTTAGCTCCAATTACTATCAAGCCAGAAAAATAGAGGAATACATAAAATTACTTTCTTCGCCCAAACTAAGATCTTTGTTGGAGTCTACAGCATGAAATTTTTGCTTCCTTGAAGACAGGGTCGAACCCATGGAGATCTTGGCTCACGACCGCCTTGATCTTCCGAGCCTGGCTCCGGGCTTTCAGCAATATGATTGCACACAGTATCTGACGCTCAAATGTCTATACCTAAGCTATCGCAGTTTCTTTCCCGCATTAAAGCCTTCCTGCGCTATAGCAAGAGGGACTAATTACTCACCAAAGCTCCACAAGTGCGTGACAATAATCGTTGATCGATTCATGTCTTGCAGCGCTTCAGTAGGACCATACTTAGGATGAGATCGTATCTAGCCTGAGACCAAACAACGTTTCAGGCCATTAAAGTCGGACAGTGTAGAACCCTTGAAAAAATGTAGGACTTTAAGATCTTTGACACTCAAAAAAATATTCTTGTCGCAAAACCCTTAGATGTAGTATACGTATCAAAAAAAATTTGCTTCAAGTTTTGTGTCGCACACAATTGCCCGTCGTCCCGAATTATTAGATCTTTCCCTGGCTTCGGAAAATATGGTGAAATGTTTAAATTATCGATTATCTTAGTGCTAGACCCCATTGACCCCGACCTCTCAAAACCACAAACAATCTAGTTCAAAGTACACTGCCCTGCCCTTACTATTTTTCGATCAGAGTATGTCAATCTGCTCTATGTGCGACCACAAGTAAGAGGTTATTAAAACCATCGAGCGACAAAAACATTCGCGACATGTACTTACCACGCTGGTTATGCTTCGCTTATATCAAATATTAGCGTACAATCTTCCGCTGTGGCATATTAATCTGAGGATCGTTAGCTTGCCGAAATATCGTTTCGGAGCAGAACCGAGTATATGGTCATTTAACCTCCAATAACCAGTTCGATTTTTTTATCTGAATTTCTCACAGACCTTAACGTCTAGCAGAAACGGCCTCACTCTATAGAGCCCCAGAGAATTGGTGGTACTTTTACCCTATCAGACTTTCCTAGAAGTTTCTCACCCTACTAAAAAATCCAACTATTTGGTTGCTTGTGAATATGGTACGATGTAACATTGCCAGGCCCCAAGAAGGTGCCACACAAAGCGAAACATCTTACAATCCTTTACCAAATTGGTGAAGTAAGCTAGAAATAGTCCAGGAGGTTTTTTTCTGCGAGACCCCAAAAAAGCTGTTTAACGCTACTTGATAGACAACAAAATTGTATCGTACAAAATGGTATCGTACAGAATTGTATCGTACAGAATATAATTGTGTCGGACCATCTACAACTTAGTCGTGGGATTAGCTTTGAGTGCTACCAAGTGCAATAGCGTTTTCGCTCACTTGACTCGAGAAATTTGCCTCCAGCAGTCCGCGTGAACAAATGCACAAAGGATGGATTCGTTCGCTCCAAACAAGAGCGGAACTGAGAGACATCAAGGTAAGAATGACTTCAGACAGCTCCATTGTTTAAAGAGTGTACCAGTTTGAATTCATGCTATAATAAATGTTTACGATTTACTATGTCTCACTATCAAACGGTCACGTTTTTCTGACGTGCGGGTGGCATCTCCCGTTGACCACAGACTAGAGTTCCATCATCTTCACATATAACAGATAATAATCGGGCGGTACCTATATAAATTAACAATGGCGCTAAGCGTGATTTACAATTGTATCTTATTCAATTTATTACTACTGTAAGAAATCAGCGTGGGTTTAGTACACACTATTTCAGGGCTTGCCCCCATTCCAGAACACATCAACGCTCGTGCTCTACCGTCTAACATTTGTACGAAGGCTATGAATTAGCACAAACTTTTGTCTTGGCAATAAAACTTCAAAACTTTTTAACGACTAGTGGGCAACGAGCTCACAACATAAAGTTTTTGGGTGGCGTGACACTCGATCAATTAGTTCTTTTCCCAATAAGTCCTTTTCAGATACCACTGCCCAATTTGTCAATAGCACATTTCAAGCAGTTTTTTCATCGTGTCGATCAGCACTATCCCCAAAAGAGAATTAGATCACTAGAGAGACGCTTAGAATTGTGTTGGAGCCCAGCTGCCCGACCATGATGCCAAAGAAAATATACTGCAAGGTTTTGGTACCCAGCAGATTGAAAACCGCGCTGATTGCAATATTGCGTATCAAATTCAATAAATGCTTCATCTGGACTTATTTCACTACGAGCACCCAGCAAATACATCACGCTATGCCCTCTTTTAAAGCGTCTAGCGGCCGCAATCTTGGTCGAATACACCGCCGCGGTTCATACGCTGCCTATACAAAATTACCTTCATTTTCGATTAAGGCACATGAGCCGCATTTGTGAGCTTAATCTAAATCTCACTACTTCGACCATCACTGTGATCTTGACCCTTCTATTAATCAAAGTGTGATGTACCACAACTTATAAATGTATGCTTCTTGCTTTGCATATCAATGGTTGTGATCCGCAACACCGAGCAACGGCAGCAGACTGGCTCGGTAGTTTAGTGAGTGAGGCTTAGTTGGGCATGGGCTCAATCCCTGCCGTAGTCAGCTGAATTGCAACTTATCATTGCGAAATGGTGTTTCTGGGTCGACAAGACTTTTGTTTTTCGAATAACGCAATCATTCCTAAATTACAAATTATACAGTGCAGTGACTAGCCAGTCATTTTCAGCACGTAAATACCGTAAGCGTAGAGACGACGGAAGGATAGATTACAGCCACACGTCTTAGCCCTGCAGATATAACTCACCCTTTGTTCGCCACTTCGTTAACAACACAATCAAGCAGCTCTTCAGCGCCTTCAATTGCATTTTTTGTCACTTTTTGAGTAGATTGCTATCGGATATTGTGGTAGATCGTTATCAGTGTTTTCGTTAGACTAAAGTTACATATCAACATCCCGTCCTAAATGCCGATTGACACCACTGGGACAAATATGAACCTTTTGTAAGAAATGGTGAAATGAGACAACCACGAGCGTCCACTTTACGTTCTTGCCGCCAGAGTGGGCCCTCTTGGAGTCGCGCAGACAAGTGCGTGACCTCACCGCAATCTTATGCCTAGTAAGTCTGCGTGAGTGCGTTTAATGCAGTTCAAACGGACCAATGGGCTTTATTCCGGATTACTTCAGTTGAAACGGACTAAGTGGCTTTATTCTGATTTTGCCTGGGAATATCTTACTCGTTTCTCGGCGAATGATAGATTGTCCGGATGTCTTTCGCCGCACTTAGCCAAAAGCACTGCCTTCAAGCCGAGAAAGGTAAATTCAACCACACTCACGATGCTAGACGTAGTGGACTAACTGAATAGAGCAAGCGCTCTTGCATTAACGGTTAGAACCCATCCTATCTTCATGTCAGTTTCAGAATCTGTTGCTTTGAGCATATTTCGATACGCGTGTCTTTCAAGTTTGCTCTTGACAAATTGCGCTAAGGTTAGTCATCTATCAACCGTCGATCAGAATAGCGTGCGGTCTTCCTGTGAATAACTCGCCGAGCCGCTCCGTCTTGAACGTCTTCAAAACCTGCATCACCCGATTGAACGTATCATCACCGAGTTCACGGTATTCCTACGGCTGTTCGTTTGGCTTATCATTCTTTAGATGTAGGACTTGACAGCTGCAATTAACAAAACCACCGCTGCCATCTTCGTTTCGCGCACAAAGTTATATCAAACTTGCCTGGTTCGCCGCGAAGCTACCGAATGACTTATTGCTATTTCGTGATGTACCGTCACAGCTCTATATGTGGACACCAAACAATGCGACCAGACGATCATGTTCCACATATAAATCGTTCACATTTGTAGGGTAACATTCAAAGTACTGAGACAAGTTGGTTTAAGGCTTGCGCTGGATGCACTCTTACCTGGCAAACTCTGCCACTTTTGCTAGAGCTCGTGTCTTCTCGTTGTAGTTGGAATGACGAGCAATAAACTCTGCAATTTTGACACAGCAAGCTAGAGTTGCTGATGGTCGTATCGGGGCTTCAGCCTCCAAGTCGTTGTCCAAATCTTGATTCGCATCAAGCCCAACTCGTTCGATCACATCCTGGGCACATTTATTTGGCTCTGCTGATTCTGCGTCAATTTACGCATCGACACCGTCAGTAACATACATCTTCTTCATCAGCGCAGCGAGATCCGCTGCCACGCTCGCATCTAACGCGCGACCATAATCGTTCTCCTGACTCAGTCGTGCCATTGTCGACGCGTCGACACTGTTGCATTGCAAACAGCAGTTGCGCAGCGCACTTGAGCGGCACTTCCTCCCAACCGGCGATTGCAAACTGCACAGCCTCCAACAACTTCAACTTTCGATTGACGCCAGCATGCATGACAACAAGCAGCCAATAAACGAGCTTGCATCGCTACCGAGCTATGAATGAATGAGCGATTCCTAGACTAGAGACAGTAGTTAGTAGGTAGAAAGAACTGTGATATGTATAGCTTACCTACATCCAATGGCTGGATTAGTGATGTCATATTTAGTGGCAGAAACTTTACCCTCAAAATCTGACATACATAGTTGACTGTGTGGCTGGGCGCATCTTCCAGGAGTAGAAAATTTTTGCGGTCGTGCATTTTGAGTTCGAAATGCTGGAGCCAAGTAAGCCAAGTGGTAAACGTGGTTTCGATTCTGCCACGCGGTCGGAATGTAGAAAAATTGGAATCCCATAGCTGAGATCTTGACTTGTCCGAACGCTCGTGGCTGCTTCGCCTTGCCAATGACAACAACATCATTTTTTTAGTTCCAGATAGATTAAACCAAATATCAACCGTAAAACGGTCTGTTAAATGTTGAACTATGTCGACCGACGAACGCGAGTGTTTTTATGGGAGGTAGCCAGTAGAACAGCGCAGACTCGTCGAAGTTGAACACGTCTTCGGAGCTGTACTGGGCAATGATTTTTTGGAGCTCGTACTGACTGACAACGAGGTTGACACAATCAACAGAATGGCTTTCACCATGCAGTGTATACAAGTTGATGCTGTGGCGCGTCTTGAACTTGTGGAGCCACCAGTTAGACAGACTGAGTTCGGCTCCGTGATACCACGTCTGTCTCAAACGGAGCGAGCCTCTTCAATCAAGAGATCGTCCGTTAGGATGGCCTTGTCGTCATTGTTATTGATCAGCGCAAGTAAATCCGACTCGAACACAGAAATTTGATCACTCCGATTCTTTTTATGGCTTTAAGGGCCAGTAAATACATCTTCTCGTGCAAGGATGATGCGGTGCGCCGTAGAGCGCGATAGATTGACCTTGAACTTGGCTCGTACCCACTGTTGAATCTGGAATAACGTGATGCCTGTGTTGCGCTTGACATGTACTTGTATCTGCTTTTTTGTCCAGAGTAAGCAATCGTTGGCCTCCGCCTATGGTTGTTTGCCTTTAACACTCTCGATCACGGTCCGACGAGTGTTCAGAAATAGAGGGAATCCCGTGTTTTGTGACCACATATTTTGTTCCAGTTCCGAAGATCCTACCAATGGAGGCAGCATACAAATCGGTGCAATGCGTTCGTGTTCCACATATAAGATCTAATTTACTATTCGAGATTCACATATGGAGGTGTGATTGTAGTTGCTTTAAATTCTGCTGGTGCTATAGTATGGCTTTATGCTGGCGCGTAATCCTGTCGATTCTCTGACCCCGTTCTTGCGTTTATTAAGTCGTCTGCAGCAGTGCGAGTCCGCGGCGGAGGAGATGGTAGCAGTAGCGGGGCTTGTAGGGAAATTTTCGGCGTCGATTAACTCCATGCTTGACTCCTATCAATTGGGCGATAGGAAGGTGGGTACCCCTGGTGCAGTGGTAATTCACTGAGGTCCATAGGTCAACAGTTTGAAATCTATCAAGATCAAGTTTTCCTCTAGGACTACAATTGTGCTTTTGCATAAGTTTTGACAAAAAAATGTTACGCACTCAATTAATTTTAAATATAGCCTTCGTGGTGATATAAATTCAGGAAATATAATCCAGCGATTGAAGCAATTGTCTGATACATAGCTGAGCTAAAGGAGCAGATGACACGATGGCCGAGCGGTCTAAGGCGCTGGTTTTAGGCACCAGTCTTCGGGCGTGGGTTCGAATCCCACTCGTGTCAATCATACACAATTATAATTTCTGTTGACCAGGTGGCGTGGGTCGAATGGTCAATGCTTCTGGACCTTACGCTGTGTGGTGCGGGTTCGAGCCCCTCAGCGCACAAAATTGTAATCGTACCAGACATAAAAGAAATGCTTGCTGCATGCTTAATTACCGACAACAGCCAATAAGGATTTCGGGATGGCGACTCGTACAAGAAAAACAAGAATCAAAATCAAGAAAAATACCCCAGCGGAATAAAGCAATGTAATATCTGTCAAGAAAATACCCCAGCGGAATGAAGCAATGTAATATCTTAGTCAGGGCCGAGTAGCAACTTTCAACTGAGCCAAAGGAGCATCTTTTATTCGTAAACCAGTTGTTAAATACCGGTACTTATATGTGAACAAATAGGCAAATAGGCTAGTTTTTGATGGTCATTCTCGAGGCTTCGACCAGTTCAGACGAGGCCAACTGGCGCGCTTGCGTTGAGTATGAGACCAAACGCGTGAGTGTAGGTAATATGGAAGTTCTAGTTCTTCAAATGGAGGAGTTGCCAATTGCCGCGTCGCTCTTTATGCTGGCTGAAATGGACGCCAACGTAACTGAGATTTCTGGTACAAGGCTCTGGACGGGCTCGCACCATCTTTCACGGGTAATTGAAGCGCTCAGATTGTACAGAAATTCTTAATAGGTGGTGATGTATATGCAGTATTTGTGCTTCTATCCGGAACTCGTGTGTGGTAAACGCGTCCTGGAGCTGGGAGCCGGCACTGGCATTTGTAGCATCGTGTCGTCGAAGCTTGGAGCTGTGAGATGTCTGGCCACTGATGGTGACAATGAAGTCGTGGAACTTTTATCTAGAAATGTGCAATTAAACGATATGGAAAACATTGTAATTGCTCGCTCGCTGTTCTGGGACGATGAAACGTCGGCGCAGACGTTGTTAAAGGAGTTTCCCGATGCTTTGTCAGATGTCGACATTGTGCTGGCTGGTGATGTACTCTATAAGACCGAGCTTCTACCACTGCTTTTTGCCACTGTAGTACGGGTGCTGACGTCGGACGATGCAGTCGTGCGCGTCTTTGTTCTGTGCCATATTCCTCGTGCCGACGTGACGCATGAACTCGTGCAAAGGGAAATCGTCGCCTGGAAGCTCAAATTTAAAATAGTTGAATTGCCGGCAAAAGATGTTGCGGACGCTACCTCAGAACTCAAGGAGTGTCCAGTGGAAGATGTGGAGCGAGCGAAGTTGTATTACATCACCAGGTAGTTGAGTAGAAAAGTTGGTCAATATGCAGACCAACTCTTGCAAATATTTTAAGTTTTTGAGCTGGTAATAAAGACCTCACTCGTCGCTATTTTCATCGCTCGAGTTTAAGTCTAAAGCACTGAATGCGTTGACAAGCGCAGATTGTCCCCTTCTTTTCACAGGTTCAGCGGTTGGCTTTTGAACTTGCTCCTGTTCGTCAGACCTAGCATTCCTATCGTCATCGCTCCCATCGTTCTGTGCTAAAACTTGCTCCTGCTTGCTGTACCTGGCGATACTTTTAGGTGTGATATCTTTGCCAGTGTAATCAGGTGGTAGAAAAAACAGAGGCAAGATGTCATCGACAGTGTCGCGAACTAATTCTGATCCAGCGCGCTGGTGATCAGGTCTTCCACGACGATCTGTTCGATACCCACGCTTCTCCGCATATGCTTCACATAACGTCCACGGTGTCCATTGCTGTGGTTAGTCAATTCATAAAGAAACAGTTTGTTAGATTTCATGGCTAATGAAGGTCATTTTGTGTAAACTTTGCACCAATTCTTCTTGTAAGCCGTCAAACAGTTGTGTACGAGGCTTCAAATTTAAAATGCTTTCGAGCGCAACATGTTCTGCAAGAAAGCGGACTGCTGAGTAGGGCTCTCGTATCTAGCAAATCCAGAGTCAGCAAATCGAGATAACGGTGTGCTATATAATTCCTACCTGAGAGTATGGATACAATCCACTTAGCTCCTGTAAATATTTTGGGACGCCAGCAAATGGAAATACGAGCCCAGGACAATCACATATGCATATCTCACGTGAAATCATGATCGTCTGTAGTCGTTTCGTGTGCCCCGGTGTGTGAGATACACTCACAATCTTTTTGCCAGCCAATGCATTCAACACACTGGACTTGCCAACGTTTGGGTGTCCAATAAGTCCGATTATTATGTTAGTAGTACTCGGCTGATGAATTGCTTCAACGCTTGCCGTCTCTGCTGTCCGTACCGACTGAAGACGCACCTGGATGTGATCCTTCAATTCGGCATGCTCTTCATCGTCACATCGAGCACACAACAAATAACCCCGAGCGACGACATCAACTTCGCTTTCGACATTAATGTCAGTATTGTTTGGTCTATCACCATTTGCGCACGACATACACGCAGTGACAGCATCGTCACATCCGCAGTGCTGGCACGCGGAGACTTTAAATGCTTCGATATAACCAGGCACAGAAACTCGAGAACCACGATCATCTTTATTTCGCCTACTTCGACGCTTACCGCTCTTCTTATTGCCTTCTTTAGCATCAGACTGAGTGTCCAAGCTGTCTCGTTCTGTCAGGCTTTCATTTAGCTCTTTTACAAGCTGTTGTGCCTCCATTGTACACACTCCACAAGCCACGAGAATATCAACGGCGCCTTTCATCGCCATTGTGTCGCCGACCTCCAGTTTTTTGCTGAAATGTTACAACAGCAAGTTAGGAATAATTACATTATCAATTGATGGGCTCAACAATTTACCTGAGAACTCGACGACGTGTGCTGACGTCATTATCACCATGTACAGCATTCGAGCGGGAAGAAAAACACACAAAATGTGCTTGGGGAAATTGTCTAACGAGGTAGTGTATCCAGAGCTCCACAACAGCGGCGGAGATCAAATCAACTTTGTTAAGTACCACAATCAGTGGTTTCTTCAGTTCGTTTGTCACGAAGTCATACACAGACGCGGGAATGTGCAACAATGGATTGCGGACATCGGCCACGACCACGACGTGCGTTGCACGTTCCATGACACGCCACAACTGTCGCCAGACTTCTAAATTGTGTTCAAAGTGGTTCAAATGCTCGTTGTCGTACTTGTCATGAATCTTTGTAAGCCATTGATCAAACATACGATTTTCATTATTGTTCACTATAAAATATACACATATAATCAGCACATCACAGCGAGAAACTTTTAAAAGAATAACTACGCCCAAACCTTTTTCCTTTGACATATTGTATGCCCATTTGGGTCTTTTTGGATGGTCGAGAATGGGGTCTCGTTCACTTATTATCGCGAGCAATGGCGTCTCTCTTTTAGTTAAATCCAGCGGGCACTGTCCTTCCAAAATTCTCAGCTGGATCTGCTCTTTTGTTTCTTTCACAAAAAAACTTGATAACTCCTTTTCCACGGCATCTTTGTTATTCTTGCCCAATGCTACCGTTAGTTTTAACCGAGAACTGAGATCATTGTCCAGGTCATTATTGAGCGCAAAAAAGTCCGGTTCATTGTGAAATGCATCGATGTCAGCATCCCGATTATCCTTTGTGATTGTTTCAATTTTCTCGACGTAAAACTCTTCATACTGCGCTCTCTGTAAATCAAGCGCCGCATCGTCACGGCGTGAGGCCAATCGCTGCTTGCGTGCGCGCAGCTGTTGCTTTTTCTGCTTGCCACTAAAGTTGACAGTAGCCGAGGTGTGCAAGCGCTCCTTTCGCTGTTGCTTTAGCATGTCTATCTCCTCGCGCCGGCGCGCCAGGAGCGCTGCCTCGCGTCTGACTTGGTCTATCTCGGTCATGACCAACAATAAAGATGGCTGCTGCCTGTACGTCACTAAGACGAGGCAATACAATAAGTGCGTTTATTGAACGTTTGCGTCGCTTCAAGATCGCAGTCTAAGATTCAGCGCAGCATTCGGATACCACCTGTAGCGCAACGTTGTAATGCAATTGCGCCATTTGACTTCACTACTCCAGGCTACGGAGGGCATGTGCAAAGTCACTGCCATTGCCTACTCTCCAAATAATCGCAGATTGGCCGTAGTAACAGTGGATCGTGTTGTGCACCTATTCGATGGGCAAACTGGAGAGCGCAAGGACAAATTCTCGACAAAACCGGCGGATAAAGGTGATAAGCATTATATTGTGCGCGCACTTGAGTTTTCGCCAGATTCGTGTAAACTCGCGGTAGCTCAGAGCGACAATATCATCTTTGTTTACAAGATTGGTTTAGAGTTTGGGGTCAGTCATGAAAACAAATATAAACTATTTCCACGAAATCTGACGCTCGTTGCAAAATTTAGGACAAGAAGAGCATTTGTAACAAATTTCCACAGACAAGTTCTGTGACGTCACTGACATGGCCAAGTACGCACCCAAATGAGATTGTTTTTGGTCTTGCAGACGGCAAAGTGAAGATTGGCCACTTGCGTAGCAACAAACCAGCTACGCTATACGCAACAGGATCCTACGTGTCTCAAGTGTGCAGCAATCCAGATGGTACTGCTATACTTTCAGCACATTATGATGGAGCTATTTACCGTTTCATCTTCGACGATGTGACTGGTGGTCCTACGCACGCAAAACTGGTGGTGCACTCGTGTATACCGTACGCGCTCTCATGGGGTGACAGCATTGTTGCCGCGGGAAATGATCGTCGAGTTTCATTCTATGATAAAGATGGCGCCCAATTGCGCACGTTCGATTACTCGAGCGATGACAAATGCGGAGAGTTCACATGCAGTGTGTTCAATCCGACGGGTGAGTCTGCTGTTGTTGGTAATTTTAATTCGTTTTACACGTTTCATTATAAGCATAAAACCGAGTCGTGGGAGCTCGTAGGTGCAAAAAGGATACCGAATCTATATTCGGTCACAGCACTTGCCTGGAAACCTGATGGTAGTCGTCTGGCCGTTGGGTCAGTTTGTGGAGCTCTGGATCTGTACGATGCTTGTGTTCGGCGCTACCGTTATAAAGGCAAGTTCGAGTTTACATACGTGTCGCTAAGTCAAGTGATTGTTAAACGGCTCGCGACTGGAGCCAGAGTTATTGTGCGTTCTGCTTTTGGTTGTGAAATTACCAAGATAAATGTCTTTCAAGATCGCTATCTCGTCGGCAATACAACCAATACACTCTTGGCGGTCGATCTTGACACTGCTCACATCAGTGAGGTTCAATGGCAGTCCACTGGTGCTGAGAAGTACATGTTCGATAACGAAAGTGTTTGCATCGTTTACCAAGCAGGGGAGCTGTCCCTGATCGAGTATGGTCAAAACGAGCTCTTAGGCTCCGTGAGAACGGAGCATCTGAATACGCACCTACTCAGTGTGCGCATTAATGAGCGACCTGTACGTGTTATGACACCAGATAATGGTGACGCAGGGCCACCCCAAGAGAACAAAAAGATTGCTTATCTTTTAGATTTGCAGACGATCTGTATCACAGATCTCCACACCCATAGTGCCTCCACAGTTAATCATGATTCCCGTGTCGATTGGATGGAGCTCAACTCGCGTGGAAACTTGCTTTTATTTCGTGATAAACGCCGACAACTCCATCTCTTTGATCTCGAAACGCAGAAGCGCAGTACGCTGCTAAATTACTGCAACTATGTTCAGTGGGTACCTGATTCGGACGTCGTCGTAGCACAAAACCGTAATAACCTTTCTGTTTGGTACAACATCCGTTCGCCGGACAAAGCCACAATTTACCAAATTAAAGGAGATGTCGAGCAAATCGAGCGTGGAAACGGACGTACCGAAGTAATTGTCGACGAAGGAATGAACACGGCTTCATATCAACTAGACGAGTCATTGATATCCTTTGGTGCTGCTGTCGATGATAGACAGTTAGTCAAGGCCATGTCGATTCTTGAGCCACTTGAACTTACTCCTGAGGTTGAAGCCATGTGGAGTCAATTGAGCCAAGAAGCGTTGGCATATAATGATCATCGAATTGCCGAACGCTGTGCCGCAGCGTTAGGAGACGTCGCGCGTTCGAGGTATTTACGGAAGCTCAATAAATTGGACTGGCAGGAACTAGACCGCCTCAACGGACTTGCTCACTGGAAAGTTCGTGCGCGACTTGCTGTACTCAAGAACGACTATCGCAGTGCGGAGCATTTGCTTTTAGCGCAGGGTCAAGTTGACGAGGCGATTGAAATGTACCAACACTTGCACAAATGGGAAGATGCCATTCGAGTTGCGGAGGTCAAGAACCACGCTGGATGCGACCAGATGAAACGAAGCTACTATGATTACCTGGTGGAATCACGGCAGGAAGAAAAAGCTGCTGCCGTAAAAGTCAAAGACGGCGACTATGCGAGTGCCGTGAGTCTATATTTGAAAGGTGGGCTACCAGCTAAAGCAGCTCAGCTTTTAAATCAAAGAAATCTTGGTCGTGACCACAAGCAACTCATGGAGACGGTTGCCGACGCATTATACTCGGCTGGTATGTTCGAGAAGGCTGGTGACCAATTTGAGCGAATGGAGCAAGAAAGCCGCGCTCTTGCTGCATACATTAAAGCAAATGCTTTTCGGAAAGCGGTCGAGTTATCGCGAAAACATTTTCCAGACAAGGTTTTACGTCTAGAGGAGGCTTGGGGTGACTACCTTGTCTCCCAGAAGCAAATGGACATGGCAATTAATCATTATATTGAAGGCAACGTGCCGACCAAAGCAGTAGAGGCGGCACTTAACTCCAGGCAGTGGGCCAAAGCAAGTCAACTAGTCGAAACACTGGAGGATGATGTTTCTTTACCATACTTCCGTCGACTTGCACGCCACTACCAGGAAGCCGGCAATTTGGAACAGGCTGAGCGATGCTTTATTAAAGCTGATGCTGCTCGAGATGCAGTTGAGATGTATACGCGAGCCAACAAGTGGGATGCTGCATACCAAGTTGCCTTAAATCACTTGGACAAATATGAGACCGAGCGTTTGTACGTCGAGCAAGCGCACCGCATGGAGCGTGCCGGCAAGCTCAAAGAGGCAGAAAAACTTTTTCTGACAGTCAATGAGCCCGACCTTGCCATTAATATGTATAAGAACCACAAGAACTATGAGCAGATGATTCGACTCGTGACGAAGTACCGCAAAGATCTGCTCAAGGACACGCACATGTACCTTGCCCAACAGCTCGAACACGAGGGGAACTACAAGGAAGCTGAACATCACTTTGCGGAAGCAGGTGAATGGCAGTCAGCCGTCAACATGTTTCGCTCAAACGACATGTGGGACGAAGCTATTCGTGTCGCCAAGTTCCACGGCGGTATTAACGCGTCAAAGCGTGTGGCTTATGCTTGGGCAATGGAGTTAGGTGGTGAGCAAGGGGGAAAGCTTCTCACTCGCCTTGGGCTCATTGAACCTGCTATTGATTACGCTGTTGAAAGCGGTGCATTTGAACATGCCTTCGAGCTGGCACGCAACTGCGCGTCCAAAAAATTGCCGGAGGTGCATTTAAAGCACGCGCTATTTCTTGAAGACGAGGAACGCTTCAAAGAAGCTGAAGAGGAGTTTATCAAAGCGGGAAAACCCCGTGAAGCTCTGGACATGTATGTACATCAGCAGGATTGGCAGAATGCCATGCGCGTCGCGGAGACTGCAGACCCGGCCTCCGTTGCTGATGTGTTTCTTGCGCAAGCGCGACTTTGGGTTGAGCGTAAGGAATACCAACGGGCAGAAGGTTTCTTTCTTAGCGCTGGTAAGCCCGAAATGGCTCTAGCTGCATATTTAGAGGCTGCAATGTGGGTCGACGCTGTGCAAATAGCAAAGCGCCATTTACCTCATAAGCTGATGGAGGTAAACATGGCCCATCAGCGAGCCATCTTTTCAGGTGGACCCAAGAAAAAAGAAGAGCTGATTGAGGCGTGTGAGATGTGGGTTGCGTCGCAGCAGTATGTACAGGCAATTGATGCGTATTTGTCAATTACTATTAACCAATTAAGCGATCTTGGGGAGCTTGAAGAAGTATGGACAAAAGCTATTGAGCTTTGTGCTAAGCATGACCCAAGCCGCTACAAGTCGATTGTAGAAGAAGTGGCGTCACGACTTCTGGGTATGTCGTGTTTCGATGCCGCTGCTCGACACTACCAGTCAATCGACATGATGAATGAGGCGCTCGATTGTTTCCTTCGCGTCAATAACTGGCCTGCCGCGCAAAAGCTGTGTGAACAGCTTGCTCCCGAGCTGCTACCTCGCCTTGAACGAGCGCAACAGGCCAGTGCATTCGGGTCAGCTACTCATCACTCTGCTGAAGCAAAGATGACTGGAAGTTCGTACACTCCTTCAGCCGACATCAAGGTGCAAGATATTCCAGAAAAGAAGGAATCAAAGCATAATATAGAAAGTGATGGCGCTGGACGCGGTTCCAGTGCTCTCGAGGCGTGGATGCAGCGTGGAGAATGGGACAAAGTTTTGTCTTCGGCAGCCAAGCACAGTCGTGAATCACTTGCTAAATACCTGGTACTACGATGCTCGCGACTGTGCGAGCACAACGAGACAGCTACTGCAATCAGGACGATATCAGACTATGGCATCCCACTCGAATCGGACTCGCTAGACATGGTGGAAAATCTTGTCCAGAAGGTGCTAGCATCTGATCACACAATTGAAGCGAATACAGATCACCAGACAGCGCTGCAGGAGCTGATTAAATGTCTGCGTAAGCTGGTGAAGGACCTTCGGACTAACGGGAAAGAATTTTTGAAGTCAAGAGTACAAAAGATTGAGCAGTGGCTGCTAGTGACACACTATTTTGTATTGAAACATCAAGCAGCGAATGCTGAATTGGATGACGTTGTTGCCAAGATCAGTATGTCACTGCTTCGATTTGTAGACGTCCTTCCTGCCGACAAGATGTTCTACCTTGCTGGTGTTGCTACCAGAAAGAAGAAATGGCTAAGTGCTGCCTTTGTCTATTTTAACCGCTATCTTGACTTGTGCGAGGCTATTGACGACGGCGACGCTAGCAACCTGGACAACACTGACTTCATTGGAACAGACATTCCTTCACCGCTTGATTTTGCGTTACCTGAGGTGCATTATCTTGCTGACGAAAGCGCCCGCGAAGAAATTCGCGACTGGGTGTTGACAATTTCCATGGACCAACAGGTGGCTGAGAAGCTACCGGAACGCGCATGTTTGAATTGCAAAGCCAGCATTTACGAGGCATCGCTTCAGTGTTCAGAGTGCAAGGCGACATCTGAGTCATGCATTATCACGGGTTTTCCTGTAGCTGCTAAGATGATTGTCCACTGTGCTACTTGCAAGGTCGTTGCCGATCGAGAGATGTGGAACAAGTGGATTAAGCAATTTGGTAACTGTCCGTGGTGCTCAGCTCCACAAAAAATGAGCTATTGAAATTTAAGCATTTTAGGAGGCCACTTTAAAGTGCGGACTGAGCAGTAAAACTCTTCAGGATAACATAGTTCTCTTTGTTCAGCGGAAAAAATTGCGTCTCCCTTCCATAATGATCGGTTAAGCGTAAAGAAACAGATTTCGTTAAAACGACATAAAATCAAGTTCCTTGCTTTCTTTGAGCTTTTCGTTCGAAATGTAACCAAGCAATATGGCGTTAACGATAATACAATAAGAAAGTTGAGATCCTTAATCACAAAGTTCGTGAAAGAGTGCACCAATCGGATCAAGCGACCAAGGAAATACTCTACGAGCATCCGCTGGCACCATTTCGAAACTTGAAAATCGTCGTTGATCGAATTGAAATTGGCCGTCGCATGGCACTCACTCTGCCGCCAAGTGCAGTGGGGCTGCCGTAGCTCTTTGCTTAGAGGATGTTGAACTAAATAGGTGGCCTGATACGCTACCTCTGCGCAAGGTGCTGCAAACGCCAGATAGGAAGGAAGGACCTGGTGGTTTGAAGGTAAGTTTCCAAGTGAATGTATTCTG